GGCCCACTAATTTGTAGGGCTCTGATTGCAAACCTTGAGCCGAATACTCTTTATAAAAAGGGGGTTTGGTTCAAATAAGCTGGTCTAGAAACTTTAACTTCCCACTAAGCGTTAAAACGTCAACGGAAATCGATTTACGCGCACGTACGTGCAAACGACAGGTTATGCATGATACGGGTAGATTAACCTACCCATCTCAATCACTGTACCCAAACCAATTTTAGGGCGCTTGTACCTTATCTAGTTATTGAAGCATTATAAAGTGGAAGGAGACTGCAAGGCAAATGGTACGCAAGATTCATTTACAACAAAACCGACCCCTGCGCTAGCTCTCTGTACAGTCGCGGTCATTCTTGGTTTTTAAAGGCGAACTATCAAAACGTTCACAAAAAAACCAACCAAGTGATTTGAATGTGGTCAGCAAGAAGGAATTTCTGAGTTCAGACGACTGGAAAATAGAAGACTAGCATGCCAGTGTAATAGGTGTGACGCTGACAGGTGCACTTCTAAACTGTCACTAAGAGAATATGACGACGTATTCATGAAGCACCTTTTTGGTTTTTGTATTTCTTAAGAGGCAGCATGCTCGTTAACAGCCATTTCCTATTCCATTTCCTTTCGCTTTGATATTGTTCATCTGGCGGATCTATCCAGTAAGTCGAATATTCGACACTAGCTTCGATGCAAAATGACGAGTACTAATTCTATCCGAAAGAAGCTTTCAAATTGTGCAGTAGGCTGTGCCCACAGCAACGTCATTTTATTTTTATTTTTTAGAATTCACTAAAACAGTTAACCACTTAGCACAACACTAGAGCTACGCACTCCGCAGATGCGGCAGGATCCCAGGAGGTTCTTATTCTGTGACAGGGTCTCGTGTGCACGGCATGCCTTACCAGTCGTAAAGGTCATGATGTCCAGTCAAAACACTGCCAAAAGAACACTACACAATGTTTTGCAGCAATGGGAATGAGCTAGGCGACTGCCAGTATGAAGTAGAAGCCTTTAAGTGTGGATAGACGTTCGTGTCAGGGGTCCTAGAATTTTTTTTAATGACAACATGATGCTTGCTCAACGGTGAGAACAGAAGGTTAAGCAGTAGAACAAACACGCCGATGCTGGGGAGAATAAATCTGCCGCAGTAATGAGGGACTCACTAAAAAGCATGGACCACAGAGGATTTAAGCACCCATGACGCCGGCAGCCGTCATCATAATGCGACAAGGTGATCAATAATAGGTAGCGTGCCGGTTTCGGCTACGCTGTGTTATGCCGATATAAAAGTAGCTCACTGAGACAAGCGGAAATGCCAGTTCCATAAAGGAATGGGAAAACAGCAGGCGGAATAACTGGGACAATAATCTTATTAGCCTGCAGAACGAAAGCATCCTATAAATACAGCCTGTACCTTATGATGTCTTTGATGATGGGTTCGAGCAGGCGAATAAAGCTCTTGTCCCAGTGAGCATATCTACTTCTTCTCAAAGTATTTTATTGTAGATCCTAGGAATTCACTTCTGAGATTCACGGCGACCGTGTTACAGCTATTATTACGACGGGACAGGGATCATAGGCCAATGGGAAACGAGGGGTCAATCGGTGGTCCTGGGAGAAGAAGAGCATGCTGCCGAGGAAAAAACGATGAGGTCATCTAGGGAGGCCGAAGTCACAAGGATGTTATACTTGTTTTGGTGTGAAATATGTCCTGCACAGCAATAAAGCCGATAAATGGTTTATAGCTTTCAGAAACAGGTGCTTCCTCGTCGTGTAATGGGAATCCGCTCGCTTAGTACCCAGTAAAGGACAAACGGATACAATTCCAAAGCACCTCAAACCTTTACACATATGTAATTAGACATAGAAAGGGTAACGCCTATCCTAGTGTAATGAAAGAAACAACTCAAAAATGTCCGAATGAGATATCGAGAACGAAGGTCTCTGTAAGGTCGAGGCACCGGCTACACCTAACAACAACACATAAAGGCAACCAACAGGATCCACATATGGCGAAATCGACGTAGACTTACGACGCAATAATAGGATTCTGTCCAATGAGCAGCAATACACTCTCGATGTTTACGTGGATACAGGCCAAAATGCCAAAGAGCATTGTCATGATCAGCAGCGCTGGAAGACAGAAAAACAGTGAGCGATGCTTCATGAAGGTTAAGTACGCACGATAGGAAAGGAGTCAAGCAAAAAGAAAGACTGTGGTATCTTAAAGAACCTTACATCAATTAACTTCCCGCATTAAATTAGTGCCATTGCAGGTTTTTCTCGCAAGGCGTCCAGGGAATTTTCAGGAAAAAAATCGACTGAAATCCATACGTGAGTTTTACAATTCTGTCACAAGGTCTGTTATTCTATGTACTAGAGACCCTGGCAACGCATTGATGTTGATCAGACCCTCCAAGTATAAAATTTCCGGGGATGGCGCAAAATAAGCAGCACGCGTGATTCTTGGGCTGCGTAACACGTACTCATGCAGAAAAAGGTGCATAGTTGGCAACAACCAAAGGTCGTGGAGGTCCTACTCATATCAAGTCGTGTCTAGATTTATTCAACCAACTGAAATGCAAGAGTGCGCATTCCAGGGTTTACTCGAGTCTGCAACGGTGCTAAGTACATATGTAAGGTGTTCTCAAGTTAGCAGGTAGATGCTCGTATGCTGGCTATTTATTTGACTTTACAGCCATTTGCGACGGTTTCATTGACGGCAAAATCAGTTGAACAGGCATAGCAAGCAGTTTGTGCCCTTCGCTCCAAAGAACTCAATTTTGTCGCTTGTCGCAGACAAGCGTTGGAGGTTGTACAGATAAATGCGAAAATCCTGAACAATGGAGACTATTCTGGCTTAAACCGATTAATCGAAATCGGTATACCAAATGTTCACTTTACGTGAGCGCCTTCATAAAAGGCCATTTCGCTGTCCACATTCCTCTTCATATTGTCCTGTATACAGAAACCCTCTAGATGCACTTGGATCTGACAGTGGAAATGCAGCTTTTTAAATTCATAGCCTTCGCAGATAAATTGGTTTGAAAAGCGGGTTCACGGGAGGCCAGCAGATGCGAGATTGTGAAATTTCTACTGAGGGATACTTGCTACGATACTGGAACATTAGTTGTCGTTAATACTGCGCAATTGACACCAGGCCAGATGAACGCACAGAAAAGAAAATGGGTTGATAGGGAAGCTAGAGATAAAAGTGGAGAAAGAAGATAATCTGCGTAACTTAGTAGTCGAATGAAAATACAAAGACGCACCTCGTTGTAACAACAGTCCCATGAGTTTCCTTTTCTTGCTGCCATAGGTCTGTGGTAGGGATAAAGAGGGAGGTCATAATGAAAAATTTGCTTAATTTGAGTTTCGAACTTGGTCGGACACGAATATGCGTATCCTCTGCACTATAGCCCAAGTTCACCTGAAATGCTGGATTGGTAGTAATAATAAGCTGTTATGAAATGAAACGTCGGGCTTTAAAGTATATAAATAGGGAGAAATGGTATTTGTGCTGCACGCTTATATAAGGACATCAGAAAATCTCCCGTATGGGATAATATTTCAAGGGTGGTGGGTGCAAATATAGATAGCCTAGTTCACATTTTCGAAACCACGGAAATTACATTTCCGGATTTGCCTGCTTCAATAAACGCTTACCTTTAAGACGTAAATATCCCTTATTCTCCCAAAATTCATGGGTAACCGATGAAAACCAGACGATTTTCTCGTTTTTGCTCCCAAAGCAATCCACGTTAAATACTGCTAAACGAACCTGGTAGGTCGAATAGAAGGCCTTGCCTACTCAAAGTTTCATCATGGAACTGAGATTAATGCGGAGAAACCTAAGCCGTCATTCAAATATTAAGGACGCGGACCCTCGAATGGGACTAAGTAGTCAAAATCAAGCTAATCTAGGCTTCATTATCCAGTGAAGAGTCGCGAGATTCATCAGCCGTTTAAGAAACTAGACGGCAAAAGTAGCTTTAGTACAGCATGGAAATTCCAAGCGGCGGACTTTTTGAATCATACTCCCTTTAAAGATCAATTTGGCAATTCGAAAAACCGTGGTTTGGGTGTATAGAAGGAAACCGCTTAACGGAATCTCCGCAAACCTAACAATCTTTGTCACGCTGTTACAGACGCGATGATGGTACACTCGGATTCCCGTGAAAATGGCCTGAAAATGGCAATGTTCGAAAAGCACTGCAGCATTTTTCGCAATCCGGCATGACTGGGTTGCACGCATGGCAAAAGATAAATGCAGGCTGTCAAAGACCGCTAGGGGCTCGGCTCCCAAATGACCATGGTACTATGTCGCAGCCAGGCCTTGGTGACGCAAACTTCGATAGCTGACCTAACATGCCATTCGAGCCCGAATAGGCAATTAGGTAGGCATAGGTAATGTCAGTCCACTGGGTTTAAAGTGCATAGTCTAGCTTAGCTGGGTTTATTATTTCATAGCCACGAGAAGTAACCTTCTGTGTGTTAACTACAACATTCAGATAACGAATTGCACAAAGTTCTTTTCTCGTGATTTTCGTTATTCAGATTCCTTTTTATTTAGTGAGACTTGATTTTGCTCATTTGGTTGAATTTCATTCTCGATTTTGTTGCTATATATAGGTCTATAAAAATAAATATGGCAGAAATTTACTTATATTTTGGTGCGCACATTTTGCTGCTTGTCCGCGGTGAGGCCGCACCCTTAAAACTTCTATAACCAACATTCCAGTTTTAAACGATCCTGAGGCTAGTGGTACCTAAGGGGGCTTCCATAACTTACCGTTGCCGGAAATTATTACAAATAAGTAAATTGTAATGAAAAATTAGTGGTGGTGGTGGTGGTG